CCCCAAAACCCCAAAACCCCAAAACCCCATGATGTTAATTATATCAAATTTTGTACAATTATTAATAAAATCAAGGTTTAAACGATATCAATTTTATCAGCATCAAATTAAAAATGATATCAATTTTTTTATCTTCCATCATATTAAAGCCTTTGCACTCTCACTGGATGGGGTTCGTACTTTGTAATTGTTCCCCAGCAAATATGCTTAAAAGCTCCATAAGCTTCTCTTTATTGACCGAGAGCTCTAAATACTCCATATGGTACCTCATAAGGATCTACAGCTCTCCAATGCTCTTTAAACCCTGTCATGTATGTCTTAACTAAAGAAGGCTTGACAATTTCATAGTCAATATATCTTAGCTCAGAACTTCTTCTATTCCAAAAGTTAACACTTTAGTCGCAGCATAAAGACATCTGTTAACTACTTAAAACTCAGATATGAATGAAGAGAGATGAATCTCTCCATATCTTTTGCGCTCTGCTTCAGCACTCAAATTGTAAGGTAACTTGGAATCTCTTTCTTTAATATACAAATGATAGTACTTGGTCATAAATGTTTGAGCGAATATATTAACAACTATCATGTTTTGAAGCATCTAAGGGTCTTCTTCTAAGAGCCTTTTACTCCCAAGTACTCCTACATTATTCAAGAGTATTCTTAGATTTCTGGACTAATCAATCACAAGATTCTTATACAAATCTTTAACTTGCTCTGGATTGAAATTTGAGAAATCAAATGTAGCAGTTTCAACAGCAATTTATGGACTCTATTCTAAGATAGTTTTCTTAGTTTTATCAAGTTTCTCCTAAGATCTTGAGACCAGTAGGAGATTAAAACCACTTCTTGCTAATTCTAAAGCAAACTCTTTGCCGATTCCTTCCGAGCCTCCTGTAACTAAAGCATATGGTTAAGCTTCATTTGGTGAGCTATATCTGTTGTGAAGTCTTTTATAGTTAGCCTCATCCTTAGTGTCTTTTTTCAAATACATTAAATAACTCGAATAAGCTAAGTAAATCAAAGGATTTGATACCTTGTAAAGTCCAATCAGAAATATTATGTTTTTTAGCTTAGAACCAAATAACATATTTGAATCAATTTAGTTAATAATTATTTTCCTAGAATATTTTCAGTTTATTGCTTGACGGGGTTTTGGGGTTTTGGGG